AAGAGAGAGACAGAGAGAGAGAGAGAGAGAGAGAGAGAGAGAGAGAGAGAGAGAGAAAGAGAGAGAGAGAGTTGCTTTAGTTATACCCCCGTCGTGTCGTGTGTCGTGTAATCCGTGACGTTGTTTTATTTCTCCGCACACAGTGTGCGAAGCTGACGAAGGATCACCACGTCTATCTGACGAAGGACGGACGCATCTCCATCGCCGGCATCACGACGAAAAACGTCGGTCGCCTCGCGCGCGGCATCCATGACGTCACCAAGTAGAGGGCGCCGGCGTAGCAAGCGCGCCACGTGTCCAACTCGTGCGACGCCCCCCGCCTGCTAGCTGTTCGCTTGTGCCAGCTGGAAGTATGGCCTTGAAGCGAGGGGAATAAAGGGAAATGAGTGATCACTAAATGACGCGGGTCTTCAAACAGAGGTAGAGAGAGAAAGAGAGAGAGAGAGAGAGGTAAGGAGATGAAGGGAGAGATATATAGATAGAGAGAGCGAGGAAGGAAGAGAGAGAGAGAGAACGAGGGAGGGAGAAGAAGGGAGACAGAGAGAGCAGGAGCTAGGTAGGCCAGGAGGGGCAGATAAAGTAGTGGGTGAAAATGGTGAGGTCAGTCAGCCAGTGTTAAACTTTTCAATAAGTGTTACTTCATGGTGCTTTTTCTGCTCACGCTTAATTTTATTAATGTATTGGGGTACATTACGTAGCTTATGCTGTTAAAATTATGAGATACGGATTAGAATGCAAATGACGTGTGATCATGGACATTTCTGTTGAATGCTAATAGGACCATGTAACAAGAAGACACGAGTGTGTTATATAGGGCGTGTGCTTTGATGCTAGAATGGTGTGGGATAGAATTAATTGATAATGTTTTTGTCGACGAATGTAGACATAGCACTAAGCTAAAATGCGGTTACTGGTGTTCTCGTGGTAAGGCTGTTTGTTGCAAGTCTTCACAAATAGATGAGTATGTTCACTCGATGCGTGCTCGGGATGACGAGTAATGGGATGTGAGAGTAAGAGTGTACGAGAGAGATACTGCTTTAATTGTTCATTATTAAGCGAGCGTGCAATGCCTGGCGTAGTGTTCACCGGCATTTAGTCCTTTAACAGCCCTTCACAGCTAGTTGTCGTTGGTGACGAATAAAAAGGCTTGATGGTTTAAGCAATGCTTTGATGTTTTAATGTTTTCTCGGTAAGCATTTATATATTACATGTAATGAAAATACACGTAGGAAAACTTCTCTCGTTTCTCAGAAACCTTGCTCATTAATTTTGTTCACGTAGGTCACACAAGCGACACTGGTGTTCCACAGTCGGACAAAAAACTAATATTTACATGACGGTATGAACATACCGCGCAGGACTGTAATTTCGAACACCTCCGTCCTCTACCAGCCTTGATGGGCTGCAACGGTGGCGCCCTCTTGCTACTTCTCCTCCTCGAACTCGATGCTTGACGCGGTAAACCTGTGCAGACTCTCGTCAAATATCTCCTCGGGGATTTCCTGGTCCTTGTAGTCGTCCGCGAACCAGGTCGGGAACGGTGGTTTCGGCCCGTCCCCCTTCCGCTTCCTGTGTGGAGAGAGGGAGAGAGATGGGAGGGCAGGTGGTGAGAGAAATGTATGACCAGGGGAAAAAATACACGGGGGCGGCGGGCGATTTCGCCCCCGAAATGCCAAAAAGAGCCCCCGAAAAT